ACCCTGTCTTGGGAATTTTATTCCACTGAGAAAACAGAATGTAGATTAGACGACTTTGCTCATTGGGAGGAGACTTAAGACAGATTTCAAGGATGCACAGCAGCTCTCGAACCAGGCTGTATCCGTGAGAATGGAGAGGGACAAATTGGAAAGAGATTGCCAAGAACAGTGGGATTATAGGACCACATAGCAGAGTTAAAGTTTAGACTATGCTGTTTACTAATTGTATGATTTTAATTGATTTGAATTCTTTGTCAGTTTCTTTATCTGTAAAATTAAAGGAATAGCCCTCACTTTATATTATGAAAATTAAATGAGATAATGGATTGCACTCAGAGCATAGTACAGATGCTCTTCAACTTATGATCAGGTTACAAATCCAATAAACTCATTGTAAATTGAAAATTAAGTCAAAATGCCTTTAATCCACTTACCCTACTGAACCACATAGCTTACTCTTGCTTGCCTTTAAACATGCTCAGAGCACTTACTTTAGTCTAAAGTTAAGCAAAGATATCTAACACAAACCTATGTTATGATAAAGTTACCTAGCTCATGTAATTTATGGAGCATGGTCCCTTGTGGAGACCAGGTTTACCCTGTGACCATGGGGCTGACTAGGAGGGACAGCTTGCTCCCACTGCCCTGCATTGCAAGAGAGTAGAGTACTGCATATCGCTAGCCCCCCATAATATCAAAATTCAAAATCTGAAGTGCAGGTTCTACGGAATGGGTACCACTTTCACACCAATGTAAATTAAAAAGCATCATAAGTCAGGAGATAAGCAATTGGCCCAGTGGTTAGGACATCCCATATTTGAGTGCCTGGGTCTGAGTCCTGGATCCTAATCTCCACTTCCTGCTAATGCACACCTTGGGAGGCAGCGGGTGATGGTCCAGTTCTTGGGTTCTTGCCCCCTATGTAAGAGACCTGGTTGGAGTTCCCAGCTCCTGGTTTCAGCTCGACTCATCCCTCGCTCTTGCAGGCATCTGGGGAATGAATAGGAGCTTTCCTCTCCCTCTTCCTCTCTCTCTCCCTAAGAATTTTAAAAAATTCTATGTTGAACTGTTGTTAAGTTGCAGAGTGGCTGTACATACTCAGTAGATAGTAGCTACGATTAATATTAAACATGAATAGACAAGAGTTTAGAAACATCTTGGCTATAAGGTATAAGAAAAGTCAGGTCTGGTGGGCATTTTCCATTCCCCCCCAGCCCCATTCTCCATCTTTGCACCCCGGCCAGGAGACTGGCCTTCAATCCAAAGGCCCCCTTTGTCCTTGTTGCTTTCAGCCAGTGGGAGGCAACAGTGGATGGAATCTGTTGCCTTGATCTCCTCCTCCCTGTGTCATCATGGGTTTGCCATGCCCCTCTACCAAAAGCTGCAGAGTGTGTCAGCTACTCCTACAGTTACAGCTACTCTCCTCAGGCTCCACACCTGCTTTTCCTCTGCTCCTTCGGGCCTGAGGGTGAAGCAGCAACCCCTGATCCTTCCATGAGATGCTTTTGTATCTCTTGTTGATTTGCCTTGCAGCTACCCACAGTGTTGTAAAATGATGTCTTTAGTAATGTCTGCTGGGACCCTGACTGATAGTGCAAAGCTCGCAGACAACGCTCCAGTTTCTAGCGTGGGATATGGGAAGGTTGTGATCAGACTGTGGAATTTGGAAAGGCCAACAAGTTTGAGTGAAGGTGTTAGTGTTGGACGAGGTCAAGTTTGCAGTAAGAGTGGAATAGCCCAGTAAGATACACACAGACTTGTGGAGCCATGGGGGAGAGGTCAGGACCAGTGATTTGGCGATTGATAGAGGGAAAAGGGCAGTTGAAGCCTTAAGAGAGAATTAGCTATTCAAATAGGATAAAGAGAAAAAGGAAGACAGCCCATTATGAGTTGTAATGTAGGATCTCAAAATTTAAGTGGTATCGTATTTCTGAGATAGGGCACAGGTTTCTAGGTAGAAATGTACCTCATTTAGTTCTCATCACAGCTCGAGATGGAAGGCATCTAAAGTTCTATAACCAATCAGCAGAATAAAGATGTCTACTCCAGAGTCCCCATCTCTCTACCAGGGCAGGCTGGGAGGTCAGTTTCAGTCCTATCTGGAAGAATCAACACCAAACCAAATGGACTTGGAACTCAGACTATAGACTGGCACCATCAGGAACCACCTCTACCATCTTCCCGATCCTAGGAGAACTCCCCACTTTCCCTTTAACATCAAGGAGACACTCTGAAGGCCTTGACCCAGTTCTCTGTGCTTTCCTTGGCCCTTTAAAATTCGATGGTCTGCCAGTTTCCAAAATCCTCACTTTTTGGAGACCTCCCTGTTCTACCATTTACCCATTAATCCTGCCATCTGGCTTCCAGATCCACCACTTCTGGCCGCCTGGCTGCCAATCACGTGCAATGCACGTCTGACTTTCCTTCCTTCCTTCTCTCGCTCCCCACTTCCTGAAGCCCTCTGTTCTCTTGACTTCCACAGCTCTGCTCCTCTAGCTCTGCCTCGGGTCTCGGGTCTTTCCTCTTCCGTCTCCTCTGCTTACCTCTCTTCTTTCCCCTGGGCCCAGGCCCTGCCCTCGCTGCTATTTCCCACGATGGTGCCACTGGCCCTCTTCACTTCTGCCTCTGCAGGTTTCACCTGGGCAATCTCATCCACCCCATGGCCTCAGCCCACACCCAGCTCTGCCCAGATCTACCTTTTGGGCCTAAATCACCACCTAATGGATTTTTCTTTCTTTTTTTTTAAGATTTATTTTATTTATTTGAAATACAGGGTCACAGAGAGAAGTAGAGACAGAGAGAGAGAGAGAGAGGTCTTCCATCTGCTGGTTCACTCCCCAGATGGCTGCAACAGCCAGAACTGCACCGATCTGAAGCCAGGAGCCAGGAGCTTCTTCTGGTTCTCCCATGTGGGTACAGGGGGCCCAAAGACTTGGGCCATCTTCCACTGCTTTCCCAGGCCATAGCAGAGAGCTGGATCGGAAGAGGAGCAGCCGGGACTAGAACCAGCTCCCACATGGGATGCCAGCACTTCAGGCCAGGGCTTTAATCCGCTGCGCCACAGTGCTGGCCCCCACACTGGATCTTTCTACTTGGATGGTCCTAGGAACCTCAAACTCAAAGTGTCCCAAGCTAAACTTGACATCTTGCCTCCTGCTCGCTTTCCACACCGTTCTGAACTGGACCCTGCACTTTTATTCCTGACCTTGGAGCTCAGCCAAGCCTCCTCCCTTCCTTTATTGACCCCTTTCAATCTGCCACCACTTCCCCAGAGATTAGACTTGTTCCCGTCATCATCTGCATCACCAGCCTCAGTGCTGCCTGGATGATGGCTTCCCAACCACTCTCTGTGCCAGTAGACTTCCTTTCATGGTGCTTGCCATTTCCCAACCCTACATCCCTCATGGCTTCCACGTCACTCAACCTCAGGAGAAAATCTAAGCTTCCTCGCAGGGCACAAAGGCCTGTCATTATGTGTCCCATCTAGCCCTAGCCTCCTCCACCGCACTCCACTGCAGGCATCCTGAGTTCCATTTAGTCAACTACAGAGCCAGCCCCGCAGTTTCTCATACTAGCAGCACTTTCTTGCCCCTGTGCATTGTACCTGCTACTTTCTAGAACACTGCCCCCATTCTGCCAATCTCACCCCTATTCATCTGGCACTGGCCAGCCAGGAAACCTTCCAAAGCGTCCCCTAACTGGCAAAGGTGAGCCGCTTCTAGGCTGCCATCCGCATCATCTCCAGTGTTTCTCAAGCTGCATTTTAATTGTCTCTTTATCTCTCCTGTTATTCCTAGAAGACTAAACCACTTGATGAAAGAAATATTTCTTCATCAACAAAATCCTAGTGTCTGGCCAGGATCTAGGACACACAAAGTGCCTGGCAAGTGTTTATTGAATGACTGAATGGCTGGTTTAATTAATGCAAGGCATGATCAGTGGTGGCTTTCAGCATTTGGGTCCTCCTGATTTTTGTCCCTACTGTTAGCTGTCTGAACCTTGCTAGTGCCAACATCAGGACTTGTGAGCATGCGTCTTGTTGACCCAAAGGCCCAAACTCCATCTTCAGTGCCAGCACATTTGTGGTTCTCTTGGTCTCAGCCTTTTGCTCTCTCGATCCACCCCAACTTCCCACTGCCCTGGCACTGATGACAGCATAAATTAGTAGCTGACAATAGAAACTATTGATTTGACTGAATGCAACAGCAAGCAAGCACATAGAAGAGAACAATTTTTGATCTGAAAAGCACTGCTTCAAGGTTTACGTGCTTCAAAGTCTTATATATTGAGTTGCCAGATACCAGTAATTTTCACAACCTAAATCTGCCAGGAGCTAGCAACTGTAGAGAAGCTCACGCTTAGCAGTGGCTTGCGTGTTCTGCTCTGGAACCCACCATATGAGACGACTGTGAGGAGTGACAGCCCTGAGTAATATCCCCTGAGAAGGAAAGAGGGCTGAGTACATAGAGAAGCAGAATCCTAAGCTCTTTAACCCCACAAAACAAGGGTATTTTAATATTCAGCAGGATGTTTCCTATCAGACTATTCCTACTCTCACCACTGTAGACAATATTTGGTGCTATGATTTGTATCAGTGATGTCAAGTTCATTTCTAAAGGATTTAAAACCTGAATGAAAGTCATTACCTGCTGGCACCGCGGCTCAATAGGCTAATCCTCCGCCTAGCGGCGCTGGCATACCGGGTTCTAGTCCCGGTCGGGGCGCCAGATTCTGTCCCGGTTGCCCCTCTTCCAGGCCAGCTCTCTGCTGTGGCCAGGGAGTGCAGTGGAGGATGGCCCAAGTACTTGGGCCCTGCACCCCATGGGAGACCAGGAGAAGCACCTGGCTCCTGGCTTCGGATCAGCACGGTGCGCCGGCTGCAGCGCACCGGCTGCGGCGGCCATTGGAGGGTGAACCAATGGAAAAAGGAAGACCTTTCTCTCTGTCTCTCTCTCTCACTGTCCACTCTACCTGTCAAAAAAAAAAAAAAAATTCATTACCAGCCTTCCGTCTTGCAAATGACCGTCAGAGTCTTGCTTTATACTTTTGGAAAACTCTTGTACCTGCAGCAAGAAAGGGTAATGTTTTATTAGTGGCACGGTTGTTCGTGTTTGAATTTGGTGACTCCTATTGTTTGTAACAAGCTTTAAAAGTATTACTTTAGACTTCAGTTGCTCGGTCTGCTCTTTCAAGCTCTGACACATCTGTTTTCCTTGGGATATCTTCAGAAATATGTAAGAAGAATTCAAGAGATGGTCTTTCTGAGAGGTTGATGTCAGCTTGAAGAGCGTCGTCTCCGATTCTACTCCTGTACGGGGAAGGATGCGTCTTGGCTAACATCCATCTCAGCCTTTCACAGTATGAGGCACTGAGAGTGGAAATCTGTGGCAGTTACCACCACTTGTTATTTTTAAAAAAGTTTTCAAAACACTTGTATATATCTCAATCAAAGAAGTTTTAAAACACCAGTACCTGGGAGAAGTTCCTGGCGGATGGGAACCGGAGGCTTCATCTGCATAATTAGAGGACAAGGAGACATCTGGGTTGATACTGATCAGTGATGCATTCCCGTTGTAGGAGCAGCTCCATGCTGTGGTCAAAAGCCAGGGCTATGAAGCCAAGGCTGAAATCCACTCTGACATTTATTTGCTGGGGGACCTGGCAATTGCCTTACCACTGTACACCTCAAATCCCTTGGTGGTAAAATGGGGGTAGCAACAGGACATCACTTATAGGGTTGTATGAGCATAAAATGTTAAACATTTACTGCAATATCAGGTATGTGGTAAGCACTCACCAAGGCGAGGGTACTTCAACAAGTTTGTGGAAGGACAGAATTAAAGGAGAAGTTTATTTTTGTGCAAAAAAAATTTGGAAGCCATGCATAGTTTTTTCATGAGACACGTTTTCCACAAACTTTTTGGAGGCCCCTGCCGCAGGTTAGCTGCTACTATCACCATGCTTGACACCATCAGGAGGAGTGCTCCATTTCTCCTGAAAGCTGACTGTCCAGCTGTGAGGACAAGTGCATTGCTGCTCCTGCCTCTAGCTCTGCTGTCGGCACTCTCGTCAACACTGACCCCATGGGAGCCACACTAGAGAACAATACAGCACGCATTATGTTCCAGAACCTGCGCCGAGACATGGATTGCTTTCTGCTTGCCTCGGGGTACCTGGACAAGGACTGGAATTCAGAGTGACCCATCTTGGAGATCTTCCCATTGTACCTAACACATAAATCTCAAACACATGAATGCCACACAGCCAAAGGGTAGCTGGTAGCGGTCTTGAGTATAAGGTAGCTATGAAACCTACAGGATCCAGGTCTCTAACCTGAACTGACAGGACTGGGGAAAAACCAGACAGCAGCCTCAAACTCCCACTTCCAGAGAGACAGACCTGGTATCTATCCTGCTTCTACTAACCTTGGGCCCTGGAGAGCTGGACACAGCACGGATGTTCACCTGAAAGGAGAACAAGGAACACTGAGACTTCCTGATGCCACAGGGGTGTAGGTTCTCTGAGACCTAGAAAAGCACCCCAGTCATGGCCACATGGGCTGTTGCCTCCAGGTGTGTGTGGGAGTCTATTCAGAGTCACAGAGCCCTGGGGCCAGCGTTGTGGCATGACAGGTAAAGCCGCTGCCTGCGACTCCAGCATCCCAAATGGGTGCCTATTTGAGTCCCAGGTGCTCCACTTACTATCCAGCTCCCTGCTAATGCACCTGGGAAAGCAGCAGAAGATGGCCCAAGTGCTTGGGCCCCTGCATCCACATGGGAGACCTGGATAGAGTTCTTGGCTCCTGGCTTTGGCCTGGCTCAGTCCTGGCCACTGCAGCCAGTTGAGTGGTAAACCAGCAGATGGAAGGTCTCTCTCTCTCCCCCTTCTCTTTTTGTATTACTCTGACTTTCAAATACACAAATAAATCTTGTCAAACCAATGGCTAAGAATATTCTACTACTGTAGTTTTAATGATCTATCATTACTTTAAAATTTACTATTTATGGATAAAATGGTCATTTTTCCATTCAATTGTTGTTTATAGCTGTTGTCTGTGTTCCCATTAAACTAGAGTCTTTTTGTTTACTCCTTGTTAAACTTCTTATTCAGTGAAGTTTAAGCCTTTTTACTATAACATAAATTTTTTTATTTTTTATTTTTTTGACAGGCAGAGTTAGACAGTGATAGAGAGAGAGACAGAGAAAAAGGTCTTCCTTTGCCATTGGTTCACCCCCAAAATGGCCACTGCGACCTATGCGCTGTGCCAATCCAAAGCCAGGATCAGGTGCCTCCTCCTGGTCTCCCATGCAGGTGCAGGGCCCAAGCACTTGGGCCATCTTCCACTGCCTTCCCAGGCCACAGCAGAGAGCTGGACTGGAAGAGGAGCAACCCGGACAGAATCTGGTGCCCCAACAGGGACTAGAACCCCGGGTGCTGGCGCCGCAGGTGGAGGATTAGCCAAGTGAGCCGTAGTGCTGGCCACTGTAATGCAAATTTAAAATATGTTATCTCAAAAACTAAAGACAGAAAGGAAGAAGGAAAGAGACTGGGAGGGATGGAGGAAGGTAGAGAATATCATTATATTCTTAGAATTTTATATACAAAGTACATTGCTCTGTTAAAAACTAATTAAAAATTAAGTAAAGATTTCAGTCGTTTGCACCCCCATAGAAACACAAAGTGAAATATACTGTTTGAGTACTCGTTATAGCATTAAGCCTCAGTGTACAGCACGTTAAGGACAGAGATCCTACATGAGGAGTAAGTGCACAGTGACTCCTGTTGTTGACTTTACCAATTGACACTCCTGTTTATGGCATCAGTAATCTCCCTATGCACCAGTTATGAGTTTCCAAGGCTATGGAAGCCCCTTGAGTTCTCCGACTCTTATCTTGTTTAGACACGGTCATAGTCAAAGTGGAGGTTCTCTCCTCCCTTCAGAGAAAGGCACCTCCCTCTTTGAAGACCTGTTCTTTCCACTGGGATCTCACTCACAGAGATCTTTTTGCCAGAGTGTCTTGGCTTTCCATGCCTGAAATACTCTCATGGGCTTTTCAGCCAGATCCGAGATCCGACTGAAATCTTTACTTAATGTACACTAAACTGATCTTCTGTAAAAAAAAAAAAAAAAAGAAAGAAAGAAAGAAATTATCAATTCCCAACTTGACTCTCACTGGGATTAAACATGACAATAGGTCTGATCTGATTTCATCATCATTTAAAAAAATCATCTATTATTTTTCACTTTATGTTTCTGTGTGGGAGCAAACTGTTGAAATACTTACTTAAGGTATACTAAGCTGATCTTCTGTATATTAAGATAATCGAAAATGAATCTTGATGTGAATGGAAGGGGAGAGGGAGTGGGAAAGGGGAGGGTTGTGGGTGGGAGGGACGGTATGGGGGGGGAAGCCATTGTAACACATGCGTCGTACTTTGGAAATTTATATTCATTAAATAAAAGATTAAAAAAAAAGGAATACAAAGGTACTTCAAAAGGTTTGTGAGTAAATGGAATTAAAAGATAAGTTGCTAAGCTTATTATTTGAAATCCCTGCATAGTTTTTTCATAGTGTACATTTTTCAAAAACTTTTTGAAGATCCCTCATATTTTAGAAATACTTACTCCTCATGTAGGATCTCTGTCCTTAATGTGCTGTACATTGAGATTTAATGCTATAACTAGTACTC